AGACCTCTGACCCATGTCAGGAAAGAGTCAACAGCTGCCAGACAGGGTAATATCAGAGCAGACAGAGGTTTTCTGTTCTCCAAGGGGTCAGCTGTAAGCTGAAGATCTCAGCTGAACCACTGCTATGTATAACTTGGAAAGCAGCATACTCCCCTCTTGGCGCTGTAGAACTACAATGAAGATTACAACAGCAGCTCATCAAAAGCACAGCTGGAGTCCTAGGCCCCTGTTCCTAGCATGTGACATTAATGCCCTGTAAGAGGGTCCCCAGCTCTGCACTTTAGCCGTCATGAGAAGACTGCACAGCAGGACAATGGGTACGGGGAAAACTTGAGAAGCCACCTTTGATCATCCCCCACAGGCAGTACATCCCCGAAAACACGTGTGCCCAGGGCTACCACAGTGACTGACACCATCAGTTAGGTGGGCCCCTGGCAGGGTCAGTGGGGAGAATGGGGTCTCCACAGGTGATGCAGTGCTCCCATGCACTAAGCAAGGATTACAGGGCACAGCCTGAGATCCTGACCCTCTCCTCTTTCCTGCACTTCTTTGTTCTCTTGAAGCTCAGTCTTCTAAAGGAGACACTTGGCTGAGCTGAGCACTATTTTTCCCAAAAGCCAACAGAGAAGGCACATTACTACGTGGTAATTTAGTGACTGGAGAGCACTTGCCCAACAAAATGGAAGACTACCTCTCAGTTCCCCCTCCTCAGCATGATCATAATCCAGGCTTTCCTCCACCCACCTACATATACCCCGAGGCTTTCTCTCTTCCTGCTCCAGATCTGCCTTCCTGTCTGAGCCCAGCTCTGCTTTTGCCACCCCCAGTCCTGGTGGTTAGAGAATATAAATCATAATGAAAACTGTGGGTTTGAATGCCTTCAGGCTGAGAAGAGCATTGGATCCAGGTGCTTCCCAGTGCTAAACAAGAATGTCAGCCATTACAATTATTCCCAGTGGCAAGCAGAAGTGCCACCAATAAAGGCCATATTCTTATGACAGCAGCTACAATGCCTTGTGGTGAAATCAGAGCTATGCGTACAGGTAAAAACAGGCTGGAAACTAGTAGATTTCAGGTTTCATCATGTTAAAAGTCTAGATTTTGAGGGAGTTTACATGTGGCTACTTTCTCAGTGCATACCCTTCATTTCATGCATGCCTAGGGAACTAGGGAATATAGGTATTTTACATTTAGGTTTTGCTGAACAGGAGGTACTTTGGATTGCTTGCTGGTGGTAAGGCACCTACATTTCACCAAAATCCATATTCAAGCACTCTCTCACTGAAAGTTGCTAGTAAAACTGACACCCAAGAGCTTTGTCACAATAGCAATAAGGTATCTTGGTTTATTGGGATAGGAATTAGAAATGTCATTAAATGGAATTTTAAATGAACCCAAGCTAAACATGTGAAGACAAATATTGCCATTTTTCCAGTGTGCTTCAAATCGTGTGTTTCATGCCTGGTTTTAAGTCCTGGTGCTTAGGTGTTCGAGACAAAGGTATATACTGCCCCAGGAGAGTGCACCCTTTTTCTAAAAGGTGGTTCATATAACAACCTAATTTAGCCCTGATATAACTGCTGCTTTCAATTCCAAGAGTTTATTTTGCTTGTGTGTTTCCAAGCTGGGAAAGAGACTCAGGAAACAATATGGAAAATGCCCTTCCATGTGACAGCACCTCTCTACGTTAAAGCCTAGGCATATACACATCATCTGTGGCATTCTCAGTGTACTATGGCTCAGGGAACAGTATCTGTCAAGGGATCTCCCAAGATTAAGACTCAAAACATACTACATGACCTTGGGAAAAGCACTCTCTCTGGCTTGGTCTATAGTATAAATTTAAGCCTGCCAGGGGATGTTCCAGGGCATTGGAATTCTATCCTCTATAAACTGTTGACATAATCCTTGGCATCAATTTCGCTGAAGCCAACTGGCAGCGTCCCAAACAATTCCCCACACAGCTCAGGAGTCAGCACAACCCAAGGCCATCCCCAGCAGACATGTAGGAGGCAGTCACTCCGCTTTGGAGGGAAAGGCAGTGAACACAGGCCGCTCTGTGCCAGTCAGCCTCTGTGCTAAACAGCGAGCCTGGGCATGTTTTGTTGACTAGTACAAACACAACCAATGTACCTAAAATGGGGATAATGTATCACTTCCTTTATAAAGTCCTTTGTGATTTAAGCATGCAACTACCGTTATAATCCTTGCAGACACATAACTGGACTACCCATAACAATATTTGAAAGAGCCTGTAAGTAAAGATGTCTTTCCCCTCTCAGAGTACCATATAGGGAATAGCTACCAGAAAACACATCCTATAGGAAGCTCATGCACACACCTACAGGTAATGCCTGCCAGAAGAGAAAAGGAAGTACCATGGTGGCCTATGGGGGAAAGATTTCTAATTTCCTGCTCTAAGTGCAGGAGAAAAGATGTTTACACATTGCTCACCTTCCTGTTAGAGCAGGGTGGCCTTGTCCATCTCCAGAGATGCTTTGCTTTAGCTGGCACTCTCTATCCCATGCCATGGCCATAGGAGACAGGCCACCTGTGCCTGTGTGACAGATATTAACAGGCCACCTGTGCTTGTGTGATGGATGCGCTTTCAGCACTGGGACAGCTTTGAGCTTTGAGCCAAGCATCCTCTCTTTCAAAAAGGGCTCAAAAGGAGAGCATTTGGTGATGCTGCAGATCTGCTCTAGAGGCCAGTGAGCAATAACCTGGAATTAATGCAAGAGGAATGGAAAGAAAATAGCAGAGAGAAAGCACCTACCTCCTCCTAGAGCAGCTGCTTCCCCTCATCCTTGCCAAGTATGCTGGAGCTCCTCACCCTGAGTCTTTCACTTGAAAATATTTTGCTCACTGATCCTTCCAGGTGCACAAGAAATTGTCATCTCCTTCATTTGCTTTGGACTTTGGCGAGTTAGGAGCTGGGTTCAAAATACAAGTCATATTTCATCTGCCATATTTCAAACCTCAATGAAAAGCAGTCACTTACGGAATAGGATGCTGGACCTTTGTAACAACTCACACTGGCATTAACTACTGGTCTCCACAGCCAAGGACTACCTTTTTGGCCAAATGGACACACAAATGATTGCCAATGCTAAGCCTCTTCTGTTTGCTCATCCTGAAGTAGCAGGGTCCATCACCTTCCCACACTTCTCCTGCCAAACTGAATAGTATTGCTTACTCTTGATTTAAATTTGTGCATCTTTATATGTACACAGTCTTTCTAAACAAAATTGCATACAAGTATTTGTTTACTAACATAGGATAAAGTGCTGTACAGTACGATACTGATACATTGAGGGGAAACAATCCTGCTTTGGAAATGGGCTCTCTCATCTCATTTCTGAATGAAGGAATAGAAATATATTTGCACACTTGGAAGGACCAACCTCCAAGAAAACATTACTACTACTACTACTGAAGACAGAGCAGTTCTTCTGGTAGAAAAATGATGGGCTGGCTGTAGCAGAATTTACTCTATTATCACACCTCTCTCTCTTTTGACAGCAATATAGAATAAATAATGACCCTACAAAAGCCTAGTTTTGGCACTAGCTTTGAATAAAATATGAAGATACTTCATTGCTCTCAGTAATTATTAAATTGTATGGATTATTAGCTACTAGGCTACATTTTTTAAAGTGTTCTTTTGGCCAAGTGCCTCTTCAGACTAGCATGAATTGTCCAACTCCAGAACCCTCTTCTGCACACTATTCTCAAAGCTGCAACTTTCTACAGCATTTACAAACACTTGCAGTTTTTAGAAAGGCAGAAATAATCTCAAACTTAGCTACGTTTGGCAACATTTGTCTGCAATGTTCACAGGACTCCAAACACAGCCTCTTCCACCTCTCATATTAAATTGTTCAAATGGACTGACAGAGCTTGAATCTACACCCCTGAGTCAGCTATTTCCACAGCCAAACCACTGCGCAGGTACACAAAATACAGGGCCAGCTGGCACTAGCTCACTCCTGCAGTTGATGGTACCTGACCTTCAGATTTCCCAAAGGAGAGAAACCCCTGCTTCACACTATTCAAGGCCTCTTTTATTCTGGTTTTAATCCTGTGTCCAGCCATGGGCTTATGTGACTCCTGAACTGCTGTCAGCAGGAGTGATACCACTTGGTACCATTCACAAGATTCAGCACCTGCAGGCTCAAGCTTAGGAGTGAAGACAATTATGGGAAAATAATTTATGCACAGAGCAGGAAAAGCAAGAGGCTGTATATTGAAGTATTTCTCTTTTTGTCAGAGAAAAGCCAGTGAGGTAAGGGCAACTGCATTGTTAAGTATACATGAAGGGAAGGAGAAAACAGGTACAGGCTAAAAGAAACTCCACTTTCATTCTTTAAAAAATGTTTCGATTTTTCATGGGAAAAGGAGACACTTGGTCCAAGTCACACTATTTTGATGAAGCATGAAGATTGTGTTGCGTGTTTTTAATGGACAAACTATTTCTACTAGCTGTGGAAGAGGATGGGCTGGCATGCCGAATTGGAAGTGGCTGGCCCAGCTTCCCCGGGAGGGACGGGTCCGAAGCACCTCTCTCCTTGAGGAAGGGCATTAGCAGCACGCCAGAGCTAGCCGGGCCTGGCAGCCTGAGCTGTTATGTCTCACTATCCCCTGATGAGGGAGGAGGCTGAGCAGAGTAGGAAAATGGCTTTCTAAGGCAAACATAGTATAAAGAGATCTCAAAGCTTTCGGCTCCCTGTTGGGACTCCATGGGCCACAGCACCCACAGAAACTCGGGACCGAGGAGGCCGCTGCCACACTACCCCAGCCCGTGCTGGCTTTGCTCCATGCCGGGAGCTCAGGAGCTCCCCTCCACCCAGTGAAGCCGTTTCCTGGTATTTCTCAAACCTCAGCTCCAGGGAGCCTGCAGAGAGCTCGGGAGCCGCCTGTGAAGCGCTCAGGCTTCAGAAGCAG